TAATATAATTGCAAGTAAGAATAAAGATAAAAGAGAGAGACACGCAAACTTTAACGAGGTTCGAAGGTGGGGTAATCCTTCTACGTCCTCAAAATCCACTATGTAGTTGGTTGTTGAATAATGAACCAACAATTACACTTGTGTGAATTTCTGCACGGTATATCTTCGCAAGGCCAATGTTGCTACTGCACTCGTATTGATCAAAAGTTGTATCCTTCAACGTGGTGTGGTACTTGAGGCAAGGAAACCTTCAAGTATTTACACTATAGCTCTTTGGAAGGAGGAGAAGTTTGCTTCTGGATAAGGAGTTTAGAAATCTCTCTTTATCAAGCTTTTTGGGCTAACTGTGAATGAGGTAGCTTTGTTGTGGTTGTTTTTCTTATCGTTGTCGTCCTCTTCTTTTCCAGTCTTCCAAGGATGCTATTTATAGCTGTATTGGATAATCTATCCGTTGAATCAAAATAGACTATCCGTTGCATTTGCTGGCTTCAATTTTGAATGAAGATTGTGATTTGAAGATTCCTCATTGGAATGGGTGTTTGGACATACCCAATTGTTTAAGGAGGGATTCCTTTTTCCACAGAATTGGTCTTCTAGCTGTTGTTCAAGAATTCTGGACTGTAGCACTTTACTCTGTTTGTCTTCTAGTGCTTGATTAGAAATTACTTCGCAGAATTTTTCTCACTAACTCTTTGTCGGTGAGTGTCTTTCCAAGCATATCAAGGTCGTTGACGATGTTTGAAAATCTTCCAAACATATCCTCCACAAGTTCGTTCTCTTTCATAGCAAATAACTCATATTCATGGGTTAGTAAATCAATTTTTGATTCACGAACTTGAGGCGTACCTTCGTATGTGATCATGAGCTTGTTCCACATTTGATTGGCAGTTTGGCAACGAGATATCTTTTGATAATCGTTGGCGTTGACAGCACAATACAAGAAGTTGATGGCGGTGGCATTTAATTGAGCCTTCTTAAGATCGGCTTCATCATATTCATCCTCGTCCTTCGGGATGAGTGTATTGCCTATCTTCTTCATTGGCAAGCTATCTCCATTCTTGATAGCAAGCCAAATTTTGAAGTTATTAGATTGAACAAAAGTTCTCATACGCTCCTTCCAATAGGAGTAATTCGTTCCATCAAAAAATGGCGGCCTTACGGTGGATTGCCCTTCTCCTATCCCTGCGTTCAACATTCTCAAAAAAAATTTGATCGTTTTCTCAAACGTCACAAGGAGCGTTAGAGATACCCGCTTCGATACCAATTGTTAGACAATGCGTGAAACTCTAGAGGGGGGGTGAATAGAGTTGTTGAGAATGATTACCGATTTTCGCATGATTAATAATATAATCGTAAGTGCAGCGGAAATAAAAGAGAGAAGGCTACGAACATACCGATGTATACTGGTTCACCACCTTGTGGCTAGTCCAGTTCCCCGAGAGACTCTCTCGAAGCTACCACTACTTCCGTTAAGCTTACGGGTGCTTAACAAACCGTTTACAACTCGAGAACTTGAATCCCACAAGCCTCGACACAACTGCTCGTAGATATGCCCTCTACAAGACTTCACAACTAAGACTTAAGTCACATAAGTCTTGAACAACAAGAAGAACAATCTTCTTCAACCTCTCAGCAATAGCTCTCACAAGAGTAGAAATGAGAAAAGATTAAGCTCTATGGATGACAAGAACACTCTCTTGAAAACACTTAGTTTTCTCTCAAAATATATCAATTTGAGGAAGAAATGAATGGAGGATTATAACCTCAAGATTGGGGGATTTTAGGAGTGCTTGTTTATAGTAAAAATGACCAAGGAGTGAGGTTTATAAAGGGGTTGAAGGAATATATCCGTTGGTCCAAGAAAAGAAGCTGTGATGAAAAATGCAGCATAATAATCGATTAATGCAGTGTAAATAATCGATTAATGCAGTCTGCGCAGAGTTCCTTCAACGCAGAAATAATCGATTAATGCAAAGGGATTAATCGATTAGAAGGCTCTAAGAGGACTAATCGATTAAAACAAGAGGAATAATCGATTAATGGAATGCGAACGAAGGTTAATCGATTAAACAGAGAAATATAATCGATTACAAAAAGAAATAATGCGCAAAACACAAAGGGCCCAAACCAGTTGCGATGGAGAGCAGAATTGGCGTAACACTCGTTGTTTGAGACAACGGGTATCAGAGAACGCTCCTCTTCTTATTCAATGAATTTGAATAAGGGAGTAAAAGTGAGTCCAAAAATTATTTTGTGTGCCAACCCATGTACACGAAAAATATTTGAATAAAATATTTTTGCTTTCCAAAAATATTTTCTAATATCAAAATAAATATTTTGATAAATGTTTGACACACTTTTTGTAACTGACTCAATAAATGTATTTTGAACAGTTAAAAGGATTTTTCAACTGACTCCAAAAATAAATATAATTTTTATTTTAACTCTCATAAAAGTAATTTTGGAGAGAAGATATTTTTGTCATCCTTACAATAATTCCTAAGACTCAAATAAATAAAAAATCTTCGGAAATCTTCTACTCCTCCGAGTCCTCCGTTAGGCGCTCCGAACGCGTCTCGGACTTCAACAAAATCATGTGCACCTTCTTGAATACTTCAAGGAATGGCACTTCAAGTCTTTGTGATTGTCGTTGTAGCACTTTAATCTTGACTTGAATAAATTGTGTTTGTCAATTATCAAACCCTGTGAGTCAACACTAAACAACACAGAAAGGGTTGAACTCATGCATTCCAACAATATATTCTTGGCGTTGACCAAAGGTAAATATATCAAGCATTCATCATGTTCATCCTAGACGCATGTCCTAGGTTTACCATCATGTGCATACCGCTGTAGGGAGGTCACGCTTTCGTGCGCCTACTACAGTGGGCCCGTCCAGGAACCTTTGGGATCCAACGGGTTTTCATCAGGTGGGCTTGTGTACGTACATGGGAGTCAGGTTACGGCTACCACCCGGTTTTGCTAGTCCACTTGCGACATCTTCGTCGAGCCCGGCTCATTACCATTTTGGTCTGATAACCGGAGTGCAGGGTGATCTTGTCAAATGAGACTAAGCCAGGGGCGTCCCTGATAGTTTAAGTCATGCATCAAGTCGTGTCATCATCATGTATGTTCCACATCACATCCACACTCAATGTGGTGGCATGTCATTTTGCTATGTGTAATAGTACCCCATCAGGTGCAAACTGAGCAGTTAATAAACATGTGGTTTTCCATAAGCTAAGTACAGGTATTAATATGTGTATAACCATATGGGTTATCACTTTATGTTCTTTTGTTAGATTCACTCCTCAGCGTTTTCTGAGCGTGTAGTTGTTTTTGCTACACGCAGGCAGACATGACGGTACAGGTGCCAACCCTGGAGGACAGTGATGATGGGAAGATGGGCGGCGCACAGACGAGTTCAATATTTGAATACATTTAATTAATTAATCATTTGGGAATGAACCCACCATATGTTTTTTTACTTACTTTGGGCTGGACTTATTTATTTACTTCTCCTTTACTCTGCATTTATTTCATTAATTAAACACAACCGTTTTCATAATAAATAGACATTAATGTTTTTCGCTACGGACGGTTCTCGGACCGCCCATGTAACCCTACCGGTCCGTTGGGTCGCGTGTGAATCGGGTCCACGGGAGGCGGGTGTTACAATTTGGTATGAGCGAGAAACGGTTTTGTGAAAAGGAAATATATATATATATATATATATATATATAGACACACACACACACACACTACCATTTTAGTCAAAGGGTATATTCAAAAGTCCACAGCCGCATCTTCCATCACATCACATCCGGGGAAAGGTACGTCGTTATTTTATTTACGTATATGTCACATTGTAAATAGTTCTGATTAAAGCTCTTTCTTTAGAGAATCAGCCAAGCAGCAGGCAATGATGGACAAGCTGTCCCCCAGGGGGAGCTTGAGCACGTGAGCGTGCACATGGAAGCGTCAAGCTTCACACCCCAGCAGGCCCTAGAGCAGGCAGCCCCGGGCGCGAGCCCTGTTCCGGAAGTCATTCCCCTCAACCAACTACAGTTCGCGGCTAACTTCATGAACTTCCTCAAGCAGATGGCTAGCGCATATGTTCCACCATCGCCACCGCCAGTGGCTGTGATCACTATTGAGAAGCTCTGGAAGAATGCAGCTGAGGAATTCCTAAGCGATCAGATTGCCGATCCCATGATCGCCAAGCGATGGTTTGAGCGAACCATTCGTGTTTTGGGAAACCTGAGGGTTCCACAGGATCAACGCGGTGACTTGAGGCTAGGCATTTCCGCAAGGAGTGTCCGAAGAATCTAGGTGAGGCGTTTCCATCTGCACCAGCTGCCTCAACTCTAGTAGCGCAGCCTGCCTAGAGTCAGAAGTCTGTGGCAACATCCAGCTGTGGGAACACACTTTGTACGATAAACTAAAGTCGTGTTCATTTCTGACAGGTTTTGATAATTGCCAAACCGCCGTGGATATAAAGAGTTTCGTTGAATAACTCAAGGCGTGAAGAATGGCTTGGAACAAGACCTAAAAGACTCAAGGACGAGATCAAGAATTGAAGACTTAGTCGAGTCGGTCTTTTGTGATCAAGACCGACAATATATTCAAGTCTCGGTTCTCAAAAAGTCAAAACAATTTTTACAAACCATAAAATATTTTTTTGTGCTTCAAAACAAACATTTTTGATGACTTCTTTTATTGTTAAAATCCCTGGTCCTTGCTCAGAACCAAAACCACCTAAGTCGGCGTTCGGCTTTCGGCGTTCGGTTTTTGGCGCCCGAACCAACTCCGTGGTTTTCAATATTTTTAAACCCTGTTTTTACCTCTGAGCATTTTTAAAATATTCCCAAATAATTATTTTATAAAAACCACTTTTGTATCTTGGTCAATCAGTCTAACACGTGAAAAACGGTCTAAACCGTACGTACGTCTTATACGACCTTGGAGACTTGGTTTTTACTAAACAAGTCTTGATTTCACTATTTAATACTCCCTCCGTCCGCCTAAGATGTTCTCATTTTGACTTTTGGTGGTTTTTAAGGAGAGTTGAAAAAAGGTGAAAGTTTACCATAATACCCTTAATGAAAAATGGGTGGAGTGTACTAAATGAGGTGGGTGAGGTGTAATAAATAAAGTCGGGGTAGTTGTGGTATTTTACTTGTTAAAAAATGAAATGAGAAGATCTATTGTGGACAAAGAAAAAGGACTATTGGGAAGATCTATGGTGGACACAGGGAGTACCATATACAATATTTTCTAAACCTGGTTTTTACTTTTGGGAACACTTCATTTTTGGACCTCGGTTTTTCAAAACGGGTTTCAGCTGGCTAGACTTTAGCTGGGTGATAATCGATTATCACCTTAGTGACAATCGACTATCAGCCCCTGCAGCTTTGAACTTCCAAAGTTCTGAAGCACGCAATAATCGATTATCAGCTTTGCAATAATCGATTATCTGTCTTTGCAGCCAAAACCCAGAATCTTCTGAGAGGACCAATAATCGATTATCACTTGTTGACAATCGATTATCTGGGTTACCGTTGTCCTCCAACAGATAGAATTTTAAATTTTTGGACAGGGAATCTTTGGATAATCGATTATCATGCTTTGACAATCGACTATCAGCCCGTGTCCCTGAAAAATTTGTCTTCATCCTGTTGGAAATTCTAGCAACGGATTTATCCCATTTTGGGCTATAAAATGGCACCCAAATCCTCTCATTTCAAACACAATTCTTCAACATTTCAATACTCTTTCATTGCCTAAGCATTCCTATTTTTTCTTAGCTATTTGAGAGCCAATTCTTGAAGAAATTGTCGTGTTCTTGAGCGTTTACTAGTTCACTCATATCTACTCTTTGTGAGAGTTTTATCCCTGAGTGTTTAAGTGTTTTCATAAACTTTAAGGGAGGTTGTTCCCTTGTTGTAAACTCGAAGGAAGTTCCTTGTTCCTTCGTGAGAAGTCTTGGAGTGCGGTATCTCCGAGAAAAGGTGTTGAGGCTCGTGTGACTCGGGTTCTCAAGTTGTATCGGTTTGTTAAGCACCCTTAAGCTTAACAGAGTTAGTGTAGCTCGAGAGAGTCTCTCGGGGGACTGGATTAGCCACACGTTGTGGTGAACCAGGATAAAATCCGGTGTGCTCCTTCCTTACGCTCTTTACTTTAACGCTCTCATTTTAATTTCCTGCGATTTTGTTTCAAACGCTATTCACCTCCCCCCACCTCTAGCAATGGGCCTTTATTCTAACAATTGGTATCAGAGCCTTACTCTCTGAAAGACTTAACCGTTTGAGAGAAACGATCAATGGCTTCTACTCAAAACTTATACGCAGGTTTAGGAGAAGGGCAATCCACCACGAGGCCTCCATTATTTGATGGAACAAATTACACATATTGGAAGGAGCGAATGAGAATTTTCATCCAATCCAACAACTTTCTCCTATGGAGAATTATCAAGAATGGGGAAGAAGTACCCATGAAGAAAGTTGGGGAAACCACCGTTCCCAAAAACGAAGATGAATACGATGCGCATGATATCAAGAAAATAGAGAACAACGCCAAGGCGATCAACATTCTTTATTGTGCAGTAAACCCGGATGACTACTGGAAGATCTCTTGTTGTTCCACCGCCAAGGAAATGTGGGACAAGCTAGAAATCACATACGAAGGTACGGATCAAGTCCGGGAAGCTAAAATTGATTTTCTAA